ACTGAGCCTGCCCTTTCTAAAATATATAGCCCTATCAATACGTAATTTGCCCCCTTAGAGTATAGAACTCAGTGATTTCTTAGTAAATTTACCAAGTTGTGCAAACAGCACCTTAAATCAGTTTTAGAACATTTCCGTCTACCCGGTTAGACCCCTCCGGCCCATTTGCAGCCTCCATCCCCAGCCCGCCACCACCACTAAGAATATACCTTCTGTCTCTATAACTTTGCCATTTCTGATCATTTCATACAAATGGAGCCATTGGGCATATACTCTCTTGTTTCTGTTGGCATAATGTTTTTGAAGTTTATCTGTGTTGTAGCATGTCCGTACTTTGTTCCTTTTTGTTGGCAAAAGAATATTAAACAGTGTGTATGGATCACAGTTTTTCTGTCCGTTTACCAATTGAGGGACATTTGGGTTGTTTACATGTTTTGCCTATTACGAACGGTGTTGCTAAGAACATTTTTCTGTAAATCTTCGTCCAGATTATTGTCTTTTCTCTTGGGCAGAAAGAATAGAATTGCTGGGTCATATGGTACCTTTATGTTGAGCCTTTTCAGAAACCGTTAACTGCTTTCCAAAATGTCTGCAGTATTTGACGTTCCCACAAGCAGTGCATGGAGGAGGTCGCTGGTTCTCATGTTCCCGCCAACACTTGTTATTTTCTCTCTAGCTATGAATTGGTATCTTGCGGTTTTAATTGACATTTCCGAAATTACTAATGATATTGAGCATCTTCTTATGTGCTTTTTAGCCATTTGTGTATCTTAGGTGAACTGTTTGTCCAAAATCTTTTATTTTTGATTGGGTTGATTGTCGTATTGGGAGTTCTTTACACATTCCAGGTACAAGTTCTCTCAGTATGTGGTTTGCAGATGCTTTCTCTTGCTCTGTTACTTGTCTTTTCATTTTCTTAATGCTGTCTTTTGAAGCACTCAGGTTTTTAATTTGGCTGATGTCCAGTGTATTGTTTTTTTTTTTTTCTTTTTATAAACCATGCTTTTGGTGTTTTATCTTCAACATCTTTGGCTAAGGTCCTGAAGATTTTCTAAGTTATCTTCCAAAGTTTAATTATATTAGCCCTTACATTTAAGTCTATGATGCATTTTGGTTTAATTTTTGTAAATGGTGTGAAATGAAGGCCCAAGTTCATCTTTTTATGTGGATTTCCAAATAGTCCCCACCCCGTTTGTTGACAAGACTGTTCTTTCTCTGATGTGCAGGTGACCCTTGGAACAATATGGGTTTGAATTGCACAGGACCATTTATATGCAGATCTTTTTCTGTAAATACAGTACAGCATTGTAAATATATTTTCCTTATAATTTTCATAATAACCTTTTTTTTTCTCTAGCTACTTTATTTTAGGAATATAGTGCATAATACATTCAATATACGAAAGGAACTGAAAGTCCTTAAACTTTTTCAAAACTGTTTTGGCTATTCTGGGTTTTTTGCAATTTCCTATACGTTTTAGGATCATTTTGAACACTTCTGCAAAAAAACCTGCTGATCTCTTTTTTTAATTTTAATACTATTAAGTCTTCTGATCCACGAATATGAGGTATCTCTTTGTTTATTTGGATCTTTAATTTCCCTCTGCAACATTTTTGAATTTTCACTGTACAAGTCTTACGCTTTTGTTAGGTTTATTCCTAAGTGTCTTCCATGTTTTTAAATGAACCTGGCTTCTGCCAAAAGGAATCGATAGTAGGATGACTTGTCACCAAGGAGTGGGTGGGTGTGCCTGCTCACTTCTACTTTCATCATAAGGGTAAGTGAAATCTGACATACTGGTTTGAATTTTTTTTTTTTTAATGAAAAACAAAGCAAACAATGGTCTTTGTAGCGTGTGTGCAATTTCATAATAAAATGAATACCTGTATCAGACTTCAATAAAAAAAGATCATGACGAAGACCCTATCCTCTATCCGATCCAGTCCCCCTCCCTTCCCTTCAGAGGGTGAACACCTGAATTTTCTCTAAGTCATTCCTTCACTTTGCTTTATGGTTTCACCGTATGAGTATTTAATTGTAAACAACATAATGTTTGCTTGCCCTGTTTTGGTCTCTGTGTAACTGTAATGATAGTGAATGTATTTTTCTACGACTTACTCTTTTTCTCATTATGTTCCTGAGGTTCATCTGTTTTGAAACATGGGCTGTATTTCATTCATTCCTCCATCCACTTCCGTGAGCTTTATGGGATCACATTATATGAGCACAGGAGTTTATTTTTCCAGCTATTGATGGTCCTTTGGGTTATTTCTTGTTTTTGTTTTGTTTTATTTTGTTTTTTTGCTGTGAGTAATCCTCCACTGCACATGGGTAGAGTTTCTGCAGGGTTTTGCTAGGAGCAGAATCACTGAGTTGGCAGGGATGAGCCTCAGCTCAGTTGGATAATGGGAAGGTGTTTTCCTGAGTGGAGAGCCGATCCCAGTGAACCTCCACCATCAGTGGATTAGTTTCCTATTGTTGCTATAACAGATCACTACAAGCTTAGTGGCTTAACACATTTATTATGTTACAGCTCTGGACGTGAGAAACCTGAAATGGGTCTTACCATATTAAATCAGGGTGTCAGGAAGGCTGTGTTCCTTTCTGGGGACTCTGGAGGAGAGCTCATGTTCCTATCTTTTCCAGCTTTTATTTTATTTTATTTTATAGTCAAAGTTTCTTTTTTTTTTTTTTTTAAGATTTTATTTATTTATTTGAGTGAGAGAATGAGAGGGAGCATGAGAGGGGCGAGGGGCAGAGGGAGAAGCAGACGCCCCACTGAGCAGGGAGCCTGATGTGGAACTCGATCCTGGGTCTCCAGGATCATGACCTGAGCCGATGGCAGTCACTTAACCAACTGAGCCACCCAGGTGCCCTCTTTTCCAGCTGTAAGAGGCTGTCTTCATTCTTTGGCCCATGGCCCCTTCCTCCGTGTTCAAACCAGCAGTGACAGTTGAGTCTTTTCTTACATCAAATCCTTGACATTGACTCCTCCTTCCACATTCAGGGACCCCTGTGATCACGCTGGGCCCACCGGAATAATCCTGGATAACCTCTGTATTTTAGGATCAGCCGATGAGCCATCTTAAATCCATCCATGTCTTAATTCCCCTTTGTCATGTGGCGTGACCTAGTTACAAGCTCTGGGGATTAGGATGTGGACATCTTTGGGGGCTGTTTCCTTTCTTACCATAGCTGGTGTTGAGGATTCTCATTATTCCACAGAAACAAGGATTTAAATGTTTAAACAGTTTGTGTATATATGAAATACTTAGTCATTATTTTCAAATGACTTCTTTAGATTTTCAGCTGTTCACGCTCCCCAGGCTTCTCTAACTTTCATGATTAGTCATGTCAAGTTCTGGAGTCAGAGTGCCAGACGTATCTCATTCAGAGCTGGGTGACTCAGGCAGGTCTCCTCCCCTCCCTAAGCTCCCTTTTCCTTATCTATAAAGTGGGGATCATTACCTTGACCGTGTAGGGTTGCTACGAGAATCATTGACATAATGCGTAGAAGTCCCAGCCTGGTGCCTGACAAGTACTAGAAAGTCGACACATGTATGAGAGTTCATGTTTATGCAGCCGTCCCCTCCTCCAGCAGCTCCCAAGGGCCAGACCCTGGGCTCGTCCACCCGGTGTTCAATGACTATGTATTTAACACCATTGTGGCTGTGAAGTCCTGTGAGGCATCCTTGGGGAAAGTGCTTGGCTGTAAGGCTTTACTGCCGTGCTCGGTGATGCGGAGAGTGTAACGTGTGCAGGAGGACCAGTTCATAAAGCTCTTCCTTAGAGAGGCAGATAGCTGGGCTCTTTATTCTCTTCATGCTTATGTCTTTGTTCGTTCCTTTTTTTTTTTTTTTTAAGATTTACTTATTTTAGAGAGCACACAAGCAGGGGGAAAGGCAGAGGGAGAAGGGAGAGAATCTCAAGCAGACACCACACCGACTGTGGAGCCTGACGCAGGGTTCTATTTCACGATCCTGAGATCGTGAACCTGAGCCAAAATCCAGAGTCAAACACTTAACGGGACTAAGCCACCCCAGGTCCCCTATGTCTTTGTTCTTGAAAGACACCATGAAACAGAAGCAGAAAGTTGGGGGGCATTTTTCTTCTGGTCCTCAAGTGACTCCCATGTCCTGGAGTATACCACGTGTCATCCGGGAAAGGAAGCAAAGAATGTCTTCACCCTTTTAAGGACAAGGAGTCACATTAACAAAGCTTGTCTTTCATCCCTAATGTTGTCACCCTTGCCGTCATTGTTATTTTTTTTTAAAGATTTTATTTATTTATTTGACAGGCAGAGATCACAAGCAGGCAGAGAGAGAGGAGGAAGCAGGCTCCCTGCTGAGCAGAGAGCCCGATGCGGGGCTCATTCCCAAGACCCCGAGATCATGACCTGAGCCGAAGGCAGAGGCTTTAACCCACTGAGCCACCCAGGCGCTCCTCATTGTTATTTTTTTAAGCTAAAGAGTACATTAGTGCGTTCCTCCTGTCAATTCCTGAGCTGAACTTCTCAGTTTTTACTCAGTTCTCTGAACTGCAGCTTTGGCGGTGGAAGTTACTTGAATCAGAAGAATCCTGTTTGATACAGAAGTAAGCCTTGACCTGCAGTTCATCATTCCGTTCCTTGGACGTAGCTCAGTGCTTTCAGGGGACTTTTACTTGGTGTGGAAAAGGGAAATAAAATATCCAGCACCTCCTAAGGCCCTGGTCACCCATAGCGGTGGTGCTGTGTGTGCGCGTGCCTGTCCGTGTGTAGTCCACATCTATGCCAACTGCCAGACAGATGAGACTGTGGATAATGGGCAAGGTGGGGAAAGTTTAAAAATTGGGTTGAAAGAAATATTAATATATGTGTTTTAAAATCATTTAAATACCTGACCAATAGGGAATGATTCAGAGCATGTCTTCTATTGAGAAAGAATGTGTTGCTCCTTAGAACTCCAAAATCTGCTTCCTTCTGGGCAAAATCTAACACTTGACGAAATCATTTCTCCTAGGCGGATGCATGCCATGCCTACCAGATCGTTCACCGAAATGGGATTCCTGATGAGCAGATCATTGTGATGATGTATGATGACATAGCCAACTCAGAAGAGTAAGTAGGCAGTGTCTTGAACTTGATGGTGAATTCGGGGGGAAAAAAGTATGTATACACACACACACACACACACACACACACACATATATGTATATATATGTGTCTAATTTTTTCTTAGCATTTTTTAAGAGATTATTTATTTTAGAGAGAGAACACGTATACACTAGTGGGGACAGTAGAAGGGCAGAGGGAGAGAATCTCAAGCAGACTCTACACTGAACGTGGAGCCTGACCTGGGAGCTTGATCTCAGGACCCTGAGAGCATGACCTGAGCTGAAACCAAGAGTCAGACGCTAAACTCACTGAGCCACCCAGGCGTGCCCCTACCCCCTGCCAGGATATAATTTTCTTAAGCGCATATAAACTCACAGGAATCTTTAGAATTAGCGTTAGAATGCAGACCTTAGGATGTGACCAGACCCACAGATGGAATCCCACAGGGCTACTTCCTATGGAACTTGGAGCATAGCCAGGGTGCCTTGCTAGTGGCAGCGGCATAGGAAATGGGCACTGAAGGGTGTTCGGGGCTGGTGCTTTGGAAGAGTTTAAAGTATAGGTTCCTTCTGGGCTTAGAGAACTCACCATTGGATTCTGCGGTGCTTGATCCTGACCCCCAGACACGGTCGAGGGGCGGGGTGGTCAGCACACAGGGGACACCTCCACAGCCCTGTGCCTAGAAGGTTCTGGTTTGTAGCTTAGATCCGACGACCCTTTGCTTCTGTGCTTGTTTGTTTTCATTATTTGTTGAATTCAGTTTTACAACCTCACGCCTGCTTCTCAGATTTCTTGGAGATCAGGGGCAGCAGGTGGGTACCACACGTGACCGGTGCTTATCTTTCCACTCCTTGTTTTCCCTGCTCGAGCCAAGGTGGAGTGACCCCAGGATGGCTCATAATCCATTCTGAGTGTTCACATCTTCAGCTCTTGTCTTAAAGTCTTGTCTTTTGTCCTGGCTTTCTCTCTAGTTTTGCTCTGAGAGGCCTTTTGCTCAGGTCTTGGCCCCAGGATGCTATATGGTTGCCACAGGAGGCCAGGCACACCTGTCCTCAGTTTCCAGGACAGCCCTTCACCACTCCCGCCAAGAACTCAAGGCCTGTGGGCTGCCTGAGACCAGCCCCCCCACCCCCCACCCCTGTTCTATAGCCCCTGGCATGTGGGCAACCATGTGGGCGATGAGACACGGCTTTGGCAAACACAGTCACTTTCTGCTTATATACATACGGGGGTGTATTTTTGAAGAGAGATTTCCAAGACATGTCCCATTGCCTGCTTCAGAGGTATCCTTTGGTTTTCAGCAACCCCACGCCAGGAATCGTGATCAACAGACCCAATGGCTCCGACGTGTATGCGGGGGTCCTGAAGGACTACACCGGTGAGGTGAGGGGTGCGGGCTGGAGGCAGCACAGGCCGTTTCCGTTCCGGGGATGGTTTTCCCCTCGTTCTTGCATTTCCAGGGTCAGAACCTCACTAGACTGATCTCTGGTCATTGCTTCATGTTTCTAGTAAGATTCATGCTTGAGGAATGATTTCTGAGAGTTTTGTAAGAAAGCTGAGGGAAAACATGGGGAGAAGAGTTAGTCTACTGATCTTTAGTTTCTAGTCTTACACTTTAAGCCTGAAAATAGATTTCCCTCAGTAATACCTGATTTTCTTAAGGTCTTGGTGCTAATCCAATTATAGATTGGTGCTATTTTCTGAAAATCAGTGTTCTCAGCACCAGCCCTGGTGCAGCGTATCCCTGGATTTCGCTGAAGATAGGTTTTCATTAATTATTTATCGTATGTCACTTCCGAATTAAATCCCTCCTAATCGATTTCAAGTTGTATTAATTGACACATTTTTTTTAAAAAAGCTCTGTAATGATGCCGCCTTATGGTTTGCCACAGTCTCTCTTTCCTGATTTCAGAGGGATCGTGTAGGAACTAATATTCCTGGTGGTAAAGAAGCATTTATCCAAAATTTAGCAGTTCTTTCAGTTTCTTTTAAATTCAAGTACACTTAAATTGAACACATCATACGTGTAATATTGATGATCCCATTTTTATGAAATTATTTTTATATAGTGAGATAAGGAAATGTCTGGAATCTTAGGTTGTAAGATTGTTGGTAAGATTTTAGGTGGTAAGATTCCCCCCCCCACTTTTATAGTTTTCTGGATTGCTTTTTTTAAATGATCAGACATCCATGTTACCTTTTTTTTTTTTTTTTTAAGATTTTATTTGTTTGACAGAGAGAAAGAGCATAAGTGGGCAGAGCGGCAGGCAGAGGGAGAGGGAGAAGCAGGCTCCCTGCTGAGCAGAGAGCCTGACAGGGGGCTGGATCCCAGGACCCTGGGATCATGACCTGAGCCAGGTGCCCCCAGTGTTATCTTTAATCTTTAAGGAAATCAAGCATCCTTGGGAATTGACCTTCTAGGCTGCATATTGGACGCAAAGGGAGGCCCAGGGCTGAAGTTTCCCTCCCTTTTTGCTGTGCCTCTGGGGGTGCTTTGCTCTTCCTCCACTGTTTGTCCCTACCTCCCCGCATCTTTGGGTTTCCCTACCTGGACTTTGTAATGGTCAGGAAGGAATGGAAAGCTTGCTGAGTTGCCATCAGCCAAAGGCAAGGGGATTTGACAAGGGATCATGCACAGGCCCCAGAAACACTGGCCTTGCTTTGGGTCTTACCTGGCTCCAAAGTGTTCGCACTTAAAGCTGGAGCCTTGAAGGGGGTGGAGCGCGGGCCCGGGGCTGCCACAGACTCCGCAGACGCTCGGATTGGGAATGACAGCTGCAGCTGGTTTTCACTTCAACTCTTTGTAGGACGTCACCCCACAGAATTTCCTCGCCGTCTTGAGAGGTGATGAGGAAGCAGTGAAGGGCAAAGGATCTGGAAAGGTCTTGAAGAGGTAATGTCTGTTTTGTGGCTCCCACACTTTTCTGAATGCCTTGGGACCCAGAAGAGGTGGCGTTCTTTACTCTTGGCCTGTCTCCTGCTGAGAAGTGACAGAGCCGGGAGCTCTGTCCTGACTTAAGACAGGCTGTGCAGAGCTGGCGGCTTTTTTGGGGAGCCTGTTTGTGTCCTGAATTCACCCAAGGAGCTACGATCCCTCATTATTGTTTTGTTTTGTTTTGAAGATTTTATTTATTTATTTGACAGAGAGAGATCACATGTAGGCAGAGAGGCAGGCAGGGAGGGAGAGGAGGAAGCAGGCTCTCTGCAGAGCAGAGAGCCTGATGTGGGGCTCGATCCCAGGACCCTGGGATCATGACCTGATCCGAAGGCAGAGGCTTAACCCACTGAGCCACCCAGGTGCCCCATTCCTCATTATTGTTAATGAAATGTTCCCTGTCACTTGAACCCACTGCTTTTTTGCTGTCCACGGATCCTAGAGCTGGTATGTTCCGCCACCATCGGGATACACCGAGACAGGCACAGAGCCTCGCAGCCGGTCGTGTCAGAGGGTCTGGCCTGCCAGTTCCGTGCCGTGTTCGAGGTCAGCCTGGTGGGGAGAGGAGCACATTCATGCACACAGACAGCGCCAGCCTTTGTGCTGGGGAAAACCAGTCCCACTGCTTGCCGCAGGCTGTGGGTCAGAGATGTGTAGCGTCCCTTCATACGGCACTTCTCAGTGATGGCAGGGACTTGGGTGCCATGCCTCGGACTGTCTCAGTGGTGCTGTTCCTCTCAGGAGGGAAAGGGCAGGCATGGGGAAGTGTGTGGGCAGGCAGATGGGGGGGGGGCAGTCGGTGTGCAGGCTGAGGGGCCCAGAAGGGAAGGAGTCAGAGCTGAAGGACTGTGTTCCTCTGTGTGTCCTGGCTTCCTTCCTCATTTGGGGGCAATCTGGTTGGAGAGTGTGGCTGCTAGCATGGGGCCCAATTACCAAAGGACCCCCCTCCCCCAATTTGAATCACACCTGGTCCTATGACTGACTGCTCAGCGAATGTCCCCTCCTCCCCAGCCATCATTCATAGCTTTGAAACTCTCCATGTGCCTTGTGGTTCAAGGTAACCCTCTGCAGGAGCGGAGGGTGAAGGCCTATAGCAGGCCCTGTGTTCCTCTTCATTGAGAGACTATAGTCCTCAAGGCTCTTCTTTTTTTTTTTTTTTTAAGATTTTATTTATTTATTTGACAGACAGATCACAAGTAGGCAGAGAGAGAGGAAGGGAAGCAGGCTCCCCGCTGAGCAGAGAGCCCGATGCGGGACTCGATCCCAGGACCCTGAGATCATGACCTGAGCCGAAGGCAGCGGCTTAACCCACTGAGCCACCCAGGCGCCCCCTCAAGGCTCTTCTTTCTCACAGCAGCTTTTCAGAGAAATGGAAATGGGGATAGGAATTGGTTTGACTCTCCTTGTCTGTCACCCTCTCTTGGCAGTGGCCCCCGGGATCATGTGTTCATTTACTTCACCGATCATGGAGCTACTGGCATACTGGTGTTTCCAAATGACGACGTGAGTTTCCCTTAACATTGTTTTTTGTTTAACATTTTTTATTTATTTGTCAGAGAAAGAGAGCACAAGGAGGGGAGTGGCAGGCAGAGGGAGAGGGAGAAGCAGGCTCCCTTGGAGCAGGGAGCCAGATGTGGATCAATCCCAGGACCCCGGGATCATGATCTGAGCCGAAGGCAGATGCTTAACTGAGCCATCCAGGTATCCAGTTTTTCTTAACATTGTGAGGACAAAGTAGAAAACTGGCAAAAGCTCAGGGTCGACATTCAGACTGTGATGTGTATTTCTAGTGTTCTACCAGGGTTGATTTCTGTGTGTGGCAAGCGAGTATAGGGGCCACGCTTAGCGGCCTGAAATCTATCTAGATGTATCTCAGGTTTTGCATATATTTCTCTTCATATCCCAGCTTCAGTAAACTGTCACCAGACTTGGCTATGTGGCACTAGAGGCAATAATAGAACCCAGCCTCTGAATGCTCCAGACAAAAAATGAACGAGAAAGCACATTCTTTTCCCCCTTTTAAATATTTGAATAAAAATGCGAGGTACCACTTTGGGGTAATGCAGCCGGTCACCGTGATTCTTTCTAAGGGCCAGTAAATAAGAATTTACAAAGCAGCATTAGGGCTTTATTAGTGGGTTCTCCAGCAAATGATTTCTCTTGATATGTTGGTCCACATGTCAGTATTCTTACCTTTCAGCTTCACGTGAAGGATCTGAATGAGACCATCCGTTACATGTACGAACACAAAATGTACCAAAAGGTAACATCAGCACTTGGGGTGGCCTTGTGGGGAGGAGTGTGAGGAAGGCAGGAGACGCAGAGCCAACCCTCCCCACGACACCCCAACTCCAAATGGTTGTTTTCTGGAGAGTGTCCTTGTGATCAGTCTTGACCACTGGTTTTCCAGGATTCACCCTTAGTGACTCTAGGGCTTTAGCTGTTAGCTCAGAATCACTAGAGCTCTAGTTAAAACACAGTGTGGACCCACCTACAGAGTTTGACTCAGAGGCCTGGGGTGAGGCTTGAGAACTGGACTGAGTTGACACTGACTCTAATGGTCTGGGGACCACGCTTTGAAGACCACTGTTCTTAGCATTGACTCCAGTTTGGGAGCCGCTGGGGAGGAAAACACCGCCGTCTTATTTGGCCCCGGCCCGTCCCTGTAGCAGCCTTTATACAAACTGAATGGTCTGAACACATATGAGATAGAAATGTGGAAATTGGCCTGCCGCACCGTCTCCCTGCGTTGGATGGAGGAACGGTTCTCTTAAGCATTATCTGTGGCACCATTTGCCCTGCGTCATTTCAACTAATAGATCATTTTAGTCTGTTAGTTATGGATAGATTGGAGTCCTTCTGGTTTGTCTGACAACAGCTTCTGTAGCCTCCAGCAGCAGCCTCTCCCAACAGAGATCTCTCCTAGAAGCAAAAGTAAAAGACCCTTAAGAATGGGTGAGAAGAGTGGGCAGGGCCAGAGTAGCGTCTGTGTGAGGTCTGTGCCTGGCCAGCGTGTGAGGTCACCCGTCTTGTTCGCCTCACAGATGGTCTTCTACATTGAAGCCTGTGAGTCTGGGTCCATGATGAAGCACCTGCCCACCGACATCAATGGTAGGTGGTGGGAGCACTGGCCTCCGAGCCAGGCCAGCTGAGCAGGTTGCTCGGTGGCACAGTTGGTCATTCCCCGATTCTGCCGACATGAAGAACCAAGTGGTCTATAGAAGTAGGGGCCTAGGGCAGCCCCTAGAAGTCGGGGAAGAGGCTTCCCTGGGAGCAGCTCTGGACTTCTCTTCAATATTAGTGGTCCAGGAGTAAAGAATCTGATGGAAGCCTCATGGTCCTCTTCCAGGTCTTGGTGAAGCTACTTAAGTCCAAGATCACGTAGTCTTTGGACCAGCTTTGCGATGCATTGCTTGCTGGCTGCTGACCGTGGGCAGTTGACTTACCCTCTTTGACCCTCTGTTATCCCATCCGTAAAATGGGGATAAAGACAGTGCCTGTCTGGGGGGAGAGGCACATTTTAAGTGCTGACATTTGCCCAGCACCATTCTGAGCCCATAATAGCTAGATAGTAAATGGTGGCTATTACATACGTTCAAAGTGTTCGTTCAGTAGATGGTAATTTTCTCCAGAAATGAAATTAGATACATGTTCTTTGAGTTTCCAGAGCTATTAAAATCTTTCAGCGTTTTTCTAAAATAGCTTGGTGTCCCACTGAGCACGTGTGCTTGCTTATTCCTGCAGAAAGTGTCTATGGACCAGCTCCTCTTTTCTTCCACATTTAATTTTAGACAGTTTCTGTAACCGAACTCACGGGGCTGGGTACAGTCATGCCCTTGCGCCCTCCCTGCGCTGGTAGCTTTGACTGCCCCAGGGAAGAGGGAAAGGCTCACACAGCAGGTGGGACCCACAGCGGAGAACGGAGTGTGACGGCTGGATGTCTTAAATTCCTGCTAGTTTATGCGACCACCGCTGCGAACCCCAAAGAGTCATCCTACGCCTGTTACTACGATGAGAAGAGGTCCACGTACCTGGGGGACTGGTACAGCGTCAACTGGATGGAGGACTCAGATGTGGTGAGCCCCCAGGGGTCTGGCTGCACCGCTGAGGCCCAGCCGTCGGCTCTGATGGTCAGAGCACTTCCATGGTTTCCTCTTTGCAGGAGGATTTGACCAGAGAGACCCTCCACAAGCAGTACCAGCTGGTGAAGTCCCACACCAACACCAGCCACGTCATGCAGTACGGGAACAAGGTGAGGAGGGCCGCCCCCGCTCCTGCTGATGGCGGTGGAGCCTTGGGCCGACTCCCCTGGAACTTGTGGCTCTGAGTCCTGGGCATCATGCCTGGGCTCTGGGGTCAGACCTTCCCAGGTTCCCCCTTGCAAAGTTGTGAGATTTGGGGCAAGGTGCTTCTCTGAATCTCCATTTCCTCCTGGGTCAGAGCTTTAGCGTACAGTTAAAGAAGGTCGTGCATCGGAAACCCTCAGCAGGCCTGGCGCATGGTAAGAGGCCGCTGAATTGAAAGTCTCTGCGAGTGTCGGGTGGTGTTGCTTCACGCTGCAGCTCGTTACCTTTAACTTTGGGCTAGGATTTAGGGACTTCCGGCCCACCCCACCCCAGCTATGTTCAGAAGGGACCTAGTGGTTAAATGGGTAAGTTTATCAGGGCTCTCTGGGCAGAGGTCACAGCAGGTGGCTGCTGAAGGCTTGGGCCTTATGTGTCACCCGGGGTAGGGGGTGGCGCAACCCTTGCGATGTGCAGAGGAGGTGTTTGTGCACTTGTCCCTGTGACCAAACACCATTCCTCAGGTGGCCTGCTACCATCTGAGCTCCCACCGGCTGAGATCTGTTCCTTGGATGCAAACACTGTCCTTCTGGAAGGCCTTGTGAGCCAGTCAACCCAGCTGCCTCCAGCTCCTCATGGGCAGAGTGTGGACCAGAGCCTGGGACTCCGCAGGGTGGGCACAGGCCATGAGATGTGCCCTCAGGATGCCCTGGACCAGGCCGGGCTTCTTAGTGGTAGTGGTGGAGCAGGGAGCAGAGAGAAGGCAAGGGAAAGGTGACTCCCAGGAGGCAGGATCAGAGGTGGCACAGCCCTGGCTGCATGGGACAGGGGAAGGGGGGGCATCTGGTCACAGCTCTTTGCCCTGGGCTTCCTGTGTGCCTTGTGATTTCTTCCGCACTGGCTGTTCCTGGTCTTTGTTGAAGAGCTGTGATGGATCTTTTCCAAACCTTATGTGTTCATATGTATTAATGTGAATTTCATTTTTGTTTTAGAGCTTTTTAGATTATTTTTCATTCTATTTTTATTCTTTTTTTTTGTTTTGTGTTATTTATTTATTGGAGAGAGGGAGAGAGGGAGAGAGGGAGCACAAGATGGGGTAGGGTCTGAGGGAGAAACAGACTCCCTGCTGAGCAGAGAGCCCGATGCGAGACTTGATCCTGGGACCCTGGGATCATGACTTGAGTTGAAGGCAGACGATTAACCGACCGAGCCACCCAGGAGCCCCAGTTGTTGCCTGGTTTAAGAACAGAATTGCTTGCAGCATTTCTTTCTCTGATTGGGGTCCAGTCTGGAGTGACCTGTGCAGGCAGCAGAGCCTGGCTGATGTGCCCGTTTGGCCCTGACCGTCAGCCAGCCTGGCCCTCTGTGGCTTAGCTCTGCCCCGCTCAGTGGACCCAGACCTCAGCTCTAACCTGTTCTTTGTGCCCTCCTGCTCCCAGGTGCTGGGGCCCGGTGGGTGAGCCTGGGTAGGGCAGCACGACCCAGGGTTGCCGCTGGCTGAAACGACCCTGGTCCAAGCTCTGTGTGACAAGGGAGCAGTGATTACGTTTCCTACATGACGGAATTAGCAATTCTCCTGCGAAGGAAGCCAAGCATTTTTGAAGTTCATCATTGGTGGATTTCAGGGGCTCGGATGTGTTTTCTTGCCACCTGCTGAGGACCAAGTGTGCATTTCCAGGCCGCACCCGTGGCCCTTCAGTGGTCCTGAAACCACGTGGCGTGAACTATGAGCCTTCCACGGAGAGGCAGGATCCAGGACACGTTCGGGACGTGTGCCGCTCAGACTGGCTCTCTCCCTTTCTCCTCAGTCCATCTCCACCATGAAAGTGATGCAGTTTCAGGGGATGAAACACAAAGCCAGCTCTCCTATCTCCCTGCCTCCGGTCACACACCTTGACCTCACCCCGAGCCCTGAGGTGCCCCTCACCATCCTGAAAAGGAAGCTAATGAGCACCAATGACCTGCAGGAGTCCAGGAATCTCGTGGAGCAGATCCACAGGCATTTGGACGTAAGTAGTGGTTCAAGGAACCATTTCCTGCTGCTGCCCCCAGCCTCACCGGGCTGCCTGCATGAACTTGGTCTCTGCCTCCTGATGGTTACCCAGTACCACTTGGAGCTAGGTGACAGCACTCTGGGGCCACCCCTCCTGCCACATGGGATTATGTGGGGAAGGAGACTAACCTCTGTGCTCCATGTAACAGAGAAGCAAGTGAGCAGAGCACTGGCTGTCTTCATTCTCCATTAGTCAACTGACCTTGACCTCTTTGGTAGCAGGCAGCAGAGGATGAGGCTGTCTCTCTCCTATATCTGCCAGTAGGTCATGGCACGTGGGCCTTGCCCTCTTTTGTACCTGGTTGCTTAGAAAACATTTAAATATTGCCACTTGGTGAGTTATTAGCTAATCGTGGTTTGTTTTTTTTTTTTTTTAAATGCAATGTATAAAGTTTCTGCAGCCTTAGGAAATTGTAGTTATAGCCTCAGATTCTTCCTTAAAATGTTTGAGCAATCTTACAGTAACTGTTATTGCTACTTTAGTAGCTCATCTGATTGTTTGGAAGTGGCAGAATCCTGTTTCTGGTTCTAGCTGCACATCTAGAAGCCCCCGGGGAACGGGCTGTCGCTGGGCTACCAGGCGGAGGTGGTCTCCTTCAGCGGAGCTGGCTCTGTGGTGACTCGCCAGCCTCATGAGCACGGCGCTTGGGCATTCGAGAGCACAGCCTATGTTTTCTAGGAAAGATAACATCTCTCTGATCCGGTTTAAATTCCTGTCTCTAGTAATCCTGGCAGTCGGTGTCCCACGTCTGGTATATTTTTTGCTGGTCTTAGTGTAATACAGAGGTCCTCCTACTTGTTGGTCTGGGACCTCTTTATGGTCCTACTAAAATTTTGATTCCAGGGTGCTGTTGTCTAAGTGGTGTTCTGGTGATAGTTGCTACATCAGAAACGTACACTGAGATTTTGAAAATATTAACTGATTAAGAAATAATAATAAATCCATTTTGCAGTGTGGTATTTCTTTTATTCATCCTTTGGGAAGGAAACAGTGCCCCTCCCCATATCCCTCTTTCTGGTGGTTCTGGACTAGATGGGCAAAGGTGCCCGTGAACACACAGCACCATTCAGGGGACAGCAGGCTACTCTGGGGCACAGTCTCTACACCCCCCCCCCGCCTTTTCTCAGAGTGGGCCAGGCCTGCTGTTCAGGGAGATAGATTTATAGGTTTCTGTCGTGTCAGAAGACCCTGAAAAGGCAGACTATTTCTCAAGGTTTCTGGCAATTACTGGAAGTTTCCCATGCACATCTCTTGCCTCCTGCAGAACGCCTCTGTTGGCATCTATTTTATTTTATATTTTAAGATTTTATTTATTTGAGAGAAAAAGTGAATGAGCATGAGCAGGGAGAGGGGCAGAAGGAGAAGCAGACTCCCCGCTGAGCAGGGAGCCTGACGCGGGATCAATACCAAGATCCTGGGACCATGACCTGAGCTGAAGGCAGACACCTACCCACCTGAGCCCCCCGGGCGCCCCTGTTGGCATCTGTTTTAACATGCTAGGTGAGAAGCTGCATGAAGAGAGGTCTAACAGATCCAGGGTTCCGAGAGAGATTGCGTGACTTAAGGCACATTTTGAAAACGTGTGTCTCCGCAGGCAAGGCACGTCATCCAGAAGTCAGTGCAGAAGATCGTCTCCTTGCTCACCAGCTCAGATGCTGAGGCCGAGGGGCTGTTGTCGCGGAGAGCCGAGCTCAGGGCACACGAGTGCTACCAGGCCGCTGTGTCCCACTTCCGCACGCGCTGCTTCAACTGGCACTTGTCCACGGTAGGCTGGGGCCTGGGGCCACACCACACCACCTACCCTGGGCCCGCAGAGCCCTTCCCTGCGTCTTAAACCCCCAAAGCTAAATTAATATTGGCCACTGGAAATCTCATAAGATGCATGGTCTTCTAGAAGGTTCCATCCAGGCTCAGGATACAGTGCACTCATTCAGAGGCCTTTGATGGGGACAAGAGGGGGAGGGTCAGCCCGATCACTGACCACGAATGCTGGCCCCAGACAACACTCAGTTGTCCAGTGGGTAGGAGTTTACCAGTCGTGGCCCAACTCCTTCCCTGTGTTTGACTGACGGGATATTCCTTCTCTCCCATCTTTGCAGTCTCCCTGCCACACCCCCTCCCTCACCCCGGTCTGTTTTGACCCCTCCCCGAGATTGAGTGTTGAAGTCAGGCCCTGGTAGAACGTCGGGTTGGTGGTCAGTGCCGTGTGATGCCCGGAGCCTTCTAGGGAGGGGGTCAGCCAACCGGCCCCCAGCCCGATCCTGCCCACAACCTGTTTTTAAGAACAGTTGTACTGGAACACAGCCGTGCTGTAATTGTGGCGTAGTTTCTCTGGCTACTTTCACACTCGCAGACTCCAGTAGTTCACACAGCCCACAAAGCCAAAAATGTTTCCCGTCCGGCCCTTCCCAGAAGAAGTTTGCCAACTTCTGCTTTAGAGTCACGCTCTCCCCGGCTGTAGTTACTGGCCTCGAAGGGCTGCTTGAAGTCACATTTAGGTCAATTAAATTAAGCCAAATGAAATGCAGCGGGAAGCTCGGTTTCTTAGCCGCTCCAGCCACATTTTGGGTGTTCAGTAGCCACACGTGGCTGGAGGCTACTGAATTAGAGAATTTGATAGAACATTCCCATCACTGTAGAAAGCCTTGTCGGGCCATGGTGTGTGCACCTGGTCATGCCTGAATGCTTCAGAGATGGGGCCCGGGTCACTTTGAGGTGGCTCTCCATTATTTGGAAGCTCTCAAGTTTATTTTGTCTTGTATTTAACTTTGTAAGGAACGTGCTTTTCTTACTTGATAATGAAGAATGTCCCCCTTATTTAATCAATGCTTTGTCTTCTGGTGCCAACTCTTTTGCCCTCTGGAATCACACAAAGCAGATCTCCTCCTCCTTCCCCCTGAGAGTTCTCACATTGCCCCAGAAGGTTTTGCAAGATAAACATTCACAGTTATCTCAGTCTTTCCCTGGGGCCATCTGGCTTGGCATCCATTTCCCATCCTGCTTTCCTCCGTGTGTTCCTCCCAGAATGAGGTTCCCAGAGCCAAAGCCAGGTGGGCAAGGTTGCGGGGGGTTCCTATTAAGACGGAAGCGGGACCACGGTGGGCCCTCTGTTGGGAGGCCTGAGCTGGTACCGACATGCTCTTGGAGGCTTGCTAGCCCCCAGGCCCAAGGGCCTTTTTCACGGGAGGGAGCCCATAAATCATCCTGGGTACTAAAAAGAGGTCCTGGAGGATCCATGAGCCCCGAAAAAAGGTCAGGGACCACAGGTCAAGGTGCTTTACACCTGTAACCGCAAAAGTGTGGGATATTCCCAAGTCAAGAGGTGATAGTATGGTGAGACGATGGCGTCTGACTGTCTTTTTTGGTTTGTTTGCCTCTAGTACGAGTATGCTCTGAGACACCTGTACGTGCTGGTCAACCTTTGTGAGGAACCTTACCCGATTGACAGGTGAATGCACACGTGGCCTGCGGGCTCGGTGTCCCTTTGCAAGCCGGCAGGAGCAGCACTTCTAGCCTTCTCTGCCAGCGGCTCCCTCTCACCGCCGGTCGAGGAGCTCAGGCTAGATGCTCCCTCCACGACCCTTGTGGGGCGGGTCTGTCGTCAAGGACGACCTGTTCTGGGTTGGGTTGTTTGGGATCATTTCTCCAGACATGACCTGGGTCACCAGCCTCTTCTTCCTGCTTCTTACAGAATACGGTTGGCCATGGACAAGGTGTGCCTTCAATACTACTGAAACACTGCCTTCCTGATGCTTTTCCACGAGCGAACACTGTTCCTCACAACGTGTGCTCAGTCGGAAGAGGGGGAGCCAGCGGGAGGCCGCCCCAGGGGCTCCGGGCTCGCCTAGGGAATGCGGTTGGGCCACCCACCCTGTGGGCCTTACCTCCTTCCCCAGCTCTTGCCGGTTCTCTGTGCCGTTCCAATAAAACTACACATTGGCCTGGGTAAAGCTCAGTGTGGAGAAAGGTATATTTGCTTTTTGAGGAGGTTTTTGGGCTCATTTGTTTCCAGAAGCAGGAAGTTGACCCCGGGGTGCAGCAGGTTCTGCCGCTGGTAAAGGGTTCTGAGGAATTAGAAGCTGGAACCTCTTGAGTCTTCAGAGTGACTTTATCGAAGAGGGTTGGAAGCCCCAGATGGAATAGTATGTTTAGGAAATACTTTGATTTTTTATTGTTTTTATATCTTTATTTATCAGCAGTGGGCAAGACTTAAACAAAAGAAATACAGATTTATCACTGAACCTGAGCATTCATTTCAGGCCCCTGACTTGGCCCCGATGCTCCTGGCCACAGCTGCTGTTCCCCTCCCCCACCCTGCTGTCCCTGCCCCTCTGTGCTCCCGGACTCTTCAGCCTCCTGTGCCTTTGTGACCTGCTGGTCCTCTCTCCCCAGAGTGCTTTTCCCTCATGGGATAGATTCTCAGGGTGTATCTCAAGGGCCACTTCGCCCTTGAACCTTCTTCAACTTCTTCCTGTCCCCTCCCACCCTCCCACCCCCATGGAAAGTCCTCTCTCCCATCTGTCTGTGTTGTTTAGCATTGGGCACGGCTAGTGTTGGGACTGGCTTTCCCAGACGGGGGAGGGAGGGGGGGTGTCTCAGCTCCCAGGGCGCAGAGCTGCCTGGCTGTTTCCCTCGGCCCGGTGCCCCACGCAGGGAGGGACTCCCAAGGGGCTTGCTGAAGACGGGTCAGTAACACGAACTACATCCATGCAGTGGAATAGCCTAGAGAAATAAAAAGGAACGAGGCACCGATGCCCGTTAGGACACTGAGTCTGAGTCAAGTCACCAGTCACTGTTTACGGCTAATGTGCAGAATAAGCCGGTCTGTGGAGACGGGAGGGTAGCAGGCAGTGGGGAGAGCAGGCAACGGGGACGTAGTGATTGCTGATTGGTAGGCAGGTCTTTTGGGGTGATTGAAAGTGTTCTGAAACAGATTGTGGCAATGTTCACACAACTCTGAATATACAAAAGGCCACCAAACTGTACAGCTTACATGGAATTATGTGGTTTGCTCCTTAGATGTCAGTGATGCTGTTTTTAAAAGTAAGCCATAGCGCATGGAGATAGAGAGACACAGAGAAAGCAGGTGACCCCACCTGAGTGTTCACCCTCGTGACCCCGTCTTTATGTCATGAAACATGTCTTCTTTAGCAACAATCGATGCCTTTAAAGTTTGGAGTTAAGGATTGGAAGTTGAGACACTGGCCAGTAGGCTTAGGTCTGTGACAAATTCCAGGTGATACTTCGGTTTCCAGTGGGTCATTTTTCATCATGGATTATCCTTCCTCAGGGAGGTGGGCCTTGCGGCTAATCTCATGACTTCAGGGAAAAGAACTCTTACTGTCCTAAAGACTTGGGGGCGCTCTAGGGTTTTAGGTGACAAGTACAAGAAGCCTGCTGTGTCTTACCACTCATGTTCAATGATGGGCGAACCTGAGGGCTGGCTGATGATCAAAGAAAAGGAGGCCCTGAAAAGGAGAATTGTGAAAGAAAGCTTTTAGGAGGCCTCACGATACAGATGGTAGAAAGCTCTATTCCTCTGTTCTCACAAATTGTTAACCACCCTTGTGATCCTGCTTCTCTGGGTCCTCTCTGTAGAATGAAAGCAGACTTATCTATTTAATAAACACAGAAGCTTGAATGTTTGTGGTTCCAAAAGTTAAGAGTGGCGGTGTTTTGTTTCTCAAATAAATGATTTCTTAAGTCACAGTGCCATGGCTTTTCTTCTCCTCCCACGGTTCCAACAGGCCCCTGGCGGAAATGGGCTCTCTGTCCCTCCTGTTAAGTCCTTTTCTGTTCTGATTTCTAATCAGGTTGATCTTTCCATGTGTGTCACAACTGACCAGTGGTTTTTTCTTCCTGTAATTCTATCCAAATTGTACAGACGTGTCCTGGCACAAAGTCCCAACACAAAAATATTCAGGGCATAACGTGGCCATCCGTTCTCTTCCCCATAAATCTCAAATATTGATCTGATATTCATCAAGAACCCCCTTTCTCTACATTAACATACCTGTATGCAAATGATACTTTTTTCTTTTTTACCTTTTCATTATAAAAACATAGAAAACCAAACGTATTGCTTAATGAATTATAAGGGGAACATCCTTGTAGCTATCACTAAAATCAAGAACTAGAACTTTCCCAGCTGTACTGTATTAGTTCAAAGTTCTCCAGAAACAGAACCAGTAGCATGTGTATACATATAAATTTTATATATACATGTACACATACATATATTTGGAGAGGTTTATCTTAAAGAATTGATTCACATACTGTGGAGTACTTAGTTAAGTCCAAAAGTCTGCAGACTGGAGACCTGGGTGGGGAGAATCACAGTTCAAGTACAAAAGCTATCTGCTGGTAGAATTCCTTCTTGTTCAAGGAGGTCAAACTTAGCGCTACACAGGCCTTCAACTGATTGGATGGGGCCCACCCACATGGAGGATGATCTCTAGCACCCATTCCATGTTAATCCCATCCAAAGAACACCTTCACAACAACATCCACAGAGTAATACTCGACCGGTTATTGGCACTGTGGCTCCTTGCACGTCGACACTTAAAACTAACCACACCAGCCACTCAGAAACGCCTTCTGCTCCATCCCCATCACAGCCCTGCCCCTGCCCCCATACCCCCTCTCCCCGTGTTCTTTGTGTCCTTACACGTGTGCATCCCTGGACACTGTTTCACTCTTGCCCACTTAACAAAAACGGTAAACATGAAAAAATGCTCAGCATCACTCGGCATCAGGGAAATACAAGTCAAAACCACAATGAGTTACCACCTCACACTGGTCAGAATGGCTAAAATTAACTCGGGAAACAACAGGTGTTGGCAGGGATGCGGAGGAAGGGGAAACTTAAAACTGCTGGTGGGAAGGCAAGCTGGTGCAGCCACTCTGGAAAAGAGTACGGAGGTTCCTCACACAGTTAAAAATAGAGCTTCCCTATGCCCCAGCAATCCCACTACTGGGTATTTATCCCAAAGATACGAACAGTGATCCGAAGGGGCACCTGCACCCCGGTGTTTACAGCGGCCACGTCCACAATAGCCAAACTATGGGAAGAACCCAGATGTCCATCGGCAGATGAATGGATAAAGAACATGTGGTATATCTTTTTTTTTTAAAAGATTTTATTTGACAGCGAGAGGGGGAATACAAGCAGGGGGAGTGGGAGAGGGAGACGTAGGCTCCCCACTAAGCAGGGAGCCTGATGGGCTCAATCCCAGGACCCTGGGATCACGACCCGAGCTGAAGGCAGATGCCTCATGACTGAGCCCCCCAGGCGCCCCCAATGTGGTATATCTATACGCTGAAATAGGACGCAGCCATCAGAATAAATGAAATCTTGCCATTTGCAATGACATCGAGGGAACTAGACGGTATTACGCTAAGAGAAGTGTCAGAGAAAGAAAATACCATGATTTCACTCACATGTGGAACTTAACAAAACAGGTGAACATAGGGGAAGGGAGGGAAAAATAAAATGAGACGAAATCAGAGGGGGAAAAACCATAAGACACTTGACTAAGGGGGAACAAACAGGGCTGCTGGAGGGGAGGGGTGTGGGGATGGGGTGACCGGATGACCGGCATGAAGGAGGGCAACGTGAGGTGATGAGCATGGGGTTTTCTATGCAACTGATGAATCCCTCTACCTCTGAAACTAATATACCCCATGTTTTAAATTGAATTTAAATAATTTTTTTAAACAACGGTGTTGTCTTTTCAGCTCCTTTAACCTACAGGTTTCCTCCCCATCTCCTTTCTTTGCCGTTTCTGTTGAAGAGCAGGGCTGTTGGTCCGTGGAGTTTCTCAGTCTGGGCCTGGCTGACCGCACGCTGTGTTGCCGCCTGCACGTCCCTCTGCCCCTGGGGCTCTCACCGATCAGCAGCTGGGCCCAGAGGCTCCAGCAGATCCCCTGTTGGCAGGGCTGGAAGTGGGCTGTGCTCTCTGCTCAGGGGGCGCGTTGGCGGAGTTTCGCTCCTTTCTGATTGTAGTTGTTGAAGCTCGGTGCCTGTATCCGTGAATTCGAGGGACGACAAACAGGTGAAATTCTGGTTCTATCTGCTTGTTCTCGTTTATAAGCTGCAACTTCAGAAGGAGACCTTTCCCTTGCCTGCTATACCCCTGGCATAGCTCATGTGGGAACGGCAGGAAAAAGACTTCATCTGTCCTCTTATTTACCTAGTTTTCGAATTGGTCCCCTTTCCTGCTCAAAAGGTGACCCAGATAGCTTTCTAAAAATCATTTTTGGGGCGGCTGGGTGGCTCAGTGAGTTAAGTGTCTGACTTCGGCTCAGGTCACGATCCCGGGGTCCTGGGATTGAGCCCCGCATCGGGCTCTCTGCTCAGCAGGGAGTCTGCTTCTCCCTCTCCTTCTGCCCCTGCCCCTGCTTGTGCTCTCTCTGTCCAATAAGTAAATAAAATCTTAAAAACAAAATGAAGATTATTTTGAACTCATGGGTGTGGACATGTCTCATGGGCTTCATCCCATTGTGCTCTGCCGAGGCCGAGGCATTTCGGTCCCCCTCCAGCCCCCGCGCCCCTCCATCTCAGTGGATGGCACATCCCTCCGGTACCGTGCCCAAGACGAAAATCCAGAAGCCCACCTAGGACTCTTCACCCTCCTTCAACACCCTCCACCATATCCTGCCGCTTCTAGCCCCTCAATGCTTCTCAGGGTTCCCCTCCCTGCCCATCCCTCTACCCTCCCAATTCAGACGTCACCTCCTCTCCCCCGGGTCACTGCGCAGGCCTCAGCAGACCCCCTGCCTCCAGCCTGGTCTCCATTCAGTTCCATCCCACGTGAGTGGAGACTCTCCAGACTCCGTGAGCTGCCAACCAGGATCATTCCCGGCCCGGTCTCATCTCTCACTTCTCGTTTAGCCTAACTCTTCAAGCCACCTTGAAGTGACTGGTTACCCTGCATACAGAACACTTTGATTTGGTTTTTCTGAGACTTTTCACTTTCTTTAGC